TGCGTCATCTGCATGGACGTGCCGGAGGGCGAGGTTGGGGTGCTGCCGTGCGGCCACTGCCCGGGCTGCGCCGTGTGTGTGCGCTCGTGGGTCGCCCAGGCGGCGGCTTGCCCGACCTGCCGCCGCGCTGCCACGGTGGAGCAAATCAGCTTCGTCGCGCTCGGTGCCGCCGCCGCCGCCCCCACCGCCGTCGCCGCCGCCGCCGCGACCGTCGCCTCGGCAGCGGTGCATCCGGTCGATCCGGACAAGGTGGAGCGCTGGGGCACGAAGCCGGCGGCGATCATCCAGCACCTGCAGGAGGTGCTAGGCGAGGCGGGGAGCCGCGCGATCGTCTTCTCCGCCTTCGACGAGTGCCTCGCGCGCCTCGCGATCACGTTCGCCGACGCGGGCGTGCGAGCCGTGCGGTGCGAGGGCGACGCCGCCGCGCGGCACGCGGCGATCGCAGCCTTCTCCGACGTGAGCGCGGCCAACGGCCCGCGCGTCCTCCTGCTCAGCTCGAAGCACAATGCAAGCGGGACCAACCTGCAGTGCGCCAACCACGTCCTCTTCGTCGAGCCGCCCGGCACCAACGCCACCCACGGCCTGTCTGTCGAGACGCAGGCGATCGGGCGCACGCTCCGCCTTGGGCAGACGCGGCAGGTGCGCGTCAAGTACTTCATCGTCGAGGACTCGATCGAGCAGGACATCTACGCTGCCCTGCAGCGCGTGCGCGACGCAGCATCAACCACCGCGGCGCCCCCCGCCTCGTCTGGCCCTGCAGACTCGGCTGAGGCCGCGGAGCAGCTTTCAATGGATGCCTCCACGGCTGTCGCACACGCCACCGCCGCCGTCACACCCACCGCCGCCGTCGCCGGCGCCTACTCCAACAACACCGGCCCCGGCACACCGGCCGCTGTCGAGACCTCGGCCGCCTCCTCTGCGCGCGCAGCCACTTCAGTTTCCCCGCTGTCGTCAGAGGAGGACGAGCCGGACGTCAACCTGACGCAGCAGTCGTCTCGGACAATGGAGGCGACGCTCGACAGCGATCCCGAGGTCCAAGCCGTCCTGCTGCCCTCCCTCTGCTCGTGCCTCCGCTCCGAGCTTGGGCTGCACCAGGCAGACGACGCCGCCACGCTACAGCGCGCGTGCGAGGTCGTCGGCGTCCCGCAGGCGGGCACGCCGCTCCGCCGCGCGCGGGCTTGCCTGGAGGCGCTCTGTGGAGGGGATTGGTGAGACCTTCAGTGTCCGCTGTGTCATCTGTCAAGCGTGCGCCGCTCTCTCTCAAGCTCATGATACGTGCGTCATCCCCCCGCCCTCTCTCCACGCGCCTGCTCTCTAGAGTAGTGTCAATGGCACTCTCTCGAGTCGTCTCGTGTCTTTTATTAATATTATCTCCCGCCCTCTTTTCACAGCCTCCGCTAAGAGTCGCGTCCTACGGCTTTACACGATCCGTATCTTCTAAGCGTTCTATCTATCGGACTTCGCTCGTCTCGTGTCTTATTATCTCCCGCCCTCTTTTCAGCCTCCGCTACTATCGGTCACAGCACGTCATGCAAGCCGTCGATCACCAAACACATGGCAGCAAAATACACTCCAAGACGGGACCGGGGGTACACGTGACCTAGAATCCTACATGCACCGGTACTTACTGGCCCGTCGCCGCCTTGAACTTCTCCAGCATCTCCGCCACGTCTGGGTCAGCCATCATCTCGGCAGCCGCCTCTGGGCCCGAGGACATCACCTTCTTCATCACATCCTGCATCTTCGGGTTCCGCAGCATCGCCATCAGCTCCGGGTCCTGCGTCAGCTTCATCAGGGTCTCCGGCGACATGCCTCCCGGCAGGCCACCGTCGCTCGCCACCGCCTCGGCGACAGCGTCCGGATCCACGGCTGGCTGCGGGTTGTAGGCGTTCTCCAAGTTCGCCTTGTTGAAGCTGTCGACGATGTCGGGATCGGCGAGGCCCTGCGACCTCGCGTCCGCCAGCATCCGCGCAAGCTCGTCCTTCTCCATCACGCCCTCGTACGACTGCTTGCGCAGATCGAGCTCGGCCTTGAGCTCGGAGACACGCATCCGCATGCACGCCTCGTAAGTGGCGTCCTCATCAGCTGCCGGCTCGGTGCAGAGTCGCGCGTGGAGCGAGCGCGGGCCGAAGATCGCCGCTGCATGAATGCCCGCGCACTGTCGCGGCTGCACCGTCGGGAGGAGAAAGGCACTGCTGGCGAGCAGGAGCGGAAGTGGCATATTGGCGCTAGTTGGCTGACTGCGTTCGAAAGCTGGAGCTGGCTGTCGACGCGGCACGATACTGCTCACTCGCGAGGCAAGGCGTGAAAGAAACGCGTCGGGGCATTCTCCGCGTCGACGATGAGGCAGACGAGAGCGACGCGACAGAGGAGGAAGCGACAGGAGGGAGAACGACGAGAGTGGGACGACCGCGAGGTGGCATGAAGGTTGCAGCGCGAGAATCCTCCCCTTTCTCCCCTTCAGCAGCTACAAGGTACACAGCCGGAGGCGTCAAAATAAAATAAATAATTCAACCGCCGTGATTGTGGCAGGATTGTGGCGTGTTGTCATCGTGCCAACACCTGGAGAGCACCCTGACCAGCCCAGTTGGTCCGCCTTGCCCACATCGTCATGATGCGCTCCCTGCTCGTCACCGCCTTCGCTCTCTCGGCGGACGCCCTCGACTTCGTCGCGGTGTCGCCTGGGACTGGCGCCGCATATGAGGGCTCGCTCAGCGGAAACGGCAACAGCGTCGGCTACACCGCAGCCAACGGGGACCAGTGGAACGCCTTCATCTATAACTCGAGCTACGATCAGTCCACAATCATGATCACGCCGGCGCAGGTGATTTTCACCCCACGCATCAGGCCTCAACGGCGCGTACTGGTGCAAGAACGCGTTTCTCTTGCCCCTAGGCGATGCCCACGGAGATGCCCAAGCAGGTCCGCCTCAACTACGCCTGAAACCGGGCGTGCTACGACCTGAAAGAGGACGCCACTCAGAACGTGATGTTTGCAATCGCCCATTACTCGTCGAAGCAGTTGACCAAGATCACGGATGAGAGCGGCGATCGCAAAGCTGGATACTGCGCCATCTCCGGCGACTGTGGAGAGACTGAGTGCACGCTGGCCTTCATCTCGGACATGGACCTCGCGGGCGACAGCCTGGAGAAGGGAAACGTGCAGGTTTACACGACCAAGCTCATCCGTGAGAACGCGTTGGGCGTGCCGACCTTCGCCCCGTTCACCATGATTACCAAGGCCTCATTCGATGCCGACTCTTCCTCCAAGGCGTTCGACACACACACACACACACACACACACACACACACACACACACACACACACACACACACACACACACACACACACACACACACACACACACACACACACACACACACACACACACGATGACTCTCCTCCTGACACCACCCGGTCATTCGCCGCGCGCATGCCGCAGGTCGAGGCGAGCGGCGGCGTGAACCTCGATCACACGGGCGAGCACGTGGTCTTCCGCGCCAAGGGCTCCGCCTTCTCCCCGATGGCCTCGTCCCCAAGGGGCCCGACGCGTTCCTGCACACCGTCGCCGACGGCAGCACCTTCATGATCAACCCGACTCTCGTCGACTGCGACCTCGACAGCTCGACACCGTCCAGAGCTTCCTCATCGCACAGAACCCCGATGCCGCCAACTTGAGCCCCACCACCGCGTCCTGCCCGTCCGTTGCCGGGCAGGGCGGCGTCCCGTCTGCCGCTACCATTGGAGTGGGCGCGACCGACAACCCGGTCATCTCGGGCGACGCTCGCTTCATGTCCTACACGGCCAACTACGACATCGCGGACACCCGCGGCGCACTCGAGGCGCCGCAGGCAATCACGTCGCGTCCCTTTTTTGGTGATGGGCTGTCTGCCGATTGATTGCTGATGGTGTCAGCTAAGCCTCGCGCGCCTTCGCTGGCTCATTTTTCTTTCTCTCAAAACCGCTGCGTCCGCAATAACGCGTCGGACACCCCCACACGAGAGGACACCAGACACGGGACACGCGACACGTTCGCCGCGAGACGGCCGCCACGCCGCCGCGCGCGAGAGTGCACCTCTCTCACGAGAGCTCTTTCGAGCCGTGGGGCTCCTCACGTGTCGTCTAGACGTGGAGACGCGAGAGTCGCCCCCCCTTGTGCCACAACCTCGTGTGTTTTACCTTCCCATTTCGAGTCGACTCAGAGTTCACTCTCCGCCGTGCGCCTCGATCTTCTTGGGCAGCAGCTGGCTCTGCTGGTCGCCGTGGCCCAAGTGGCCAAAGCCTCCAAAGCCCCAGCTCCAGACGCCGCCGTCGGCGGTGATGGCGAGGCTGTGGGCCGCTCGCACCGCCACGGAGACGACGCGCCGGCCAGCAAAGGCCTCGATCTTCTTCGGCAGCAGCTGATTCTGCTCGTCGCCGTGGCCCAGCCGGCCTTCGCCTCCAAAGCCCCAGCTCCCGACAGCGCCGTCGGCGGTGATGGCGAGGCTGTGCATGCCTCCAGCCGACACAGCGACAACGCGCTGGCCAGCAAAGGCCTCGACCTTCTTCGGCAGCAGCTGATTCTGCTGGTCGCCGTGGCCCAGCTTGCCATTGGATCCAAAGCCCCAGCTCCAGACGGCGCCGTCGGCGGTGATGGCGAGGCTGTGCATGCCTCCAGCCGACACAGCGACACCGCGCTGGCCAGCAAAGGCCTCGACCTTCTTCGGCAGCAGCTGGTGCTGCTGGTCGCCGTGGCCCAAGTGGCCAAAGCCTCCAAAGCCCCAGCTCCAGACGGCGCCGTCGGCGGTGATGGCGAGGCTGTGGTACTCTCCAGCCGACATAGCAACGATGCGCTGGCCAGCAAAGGCCTCGACCTTCTTCGGCAGCAGCTGGCCCTGCTCGTCGCCGTGGCCCAGCTGGCCAGAGTATCCCCAGCCCCAGCTCCAGACGGAGCCGTCGGCGGTGACGGCGAGGCTGTGCGCGGCTCCAGCCGACGCAGCGACGACACGCTGGCCAGCAAAGGCCTCGACCTTCTTCGGCTGCCACTGGGCCTGCCGGTCGCCGTGGCCCAACTGGCCCCTGCTTCCACCGCCCCAGCTCCAGGCGGCGTCAGCGGTCAGGGCGAGGCTATGCCTGCCTCCAGCCAACACGCTCACGGCGCGCTCGCCGCCCAGAAGGGGGAGGCGGGTCGGCGCGCTGAGCCGCGTCACGCCCTCGCCGTGACCGAGGAGGGCTGGCTCGCCCTCCGCTGCCGTGCCGCACGACGAGAGCCGCCCCTCGCCATCGATGAAGACGCTGTGCCGAGCGCCTGCCGCCGCCCTCGCCGGCGGGTTCGACTCGCGCAGCAACGCCGAATAGCACAGCCACCGCACGGCGCAGCTCTCGCCCTCTGGCTGCGCCGGCAGCTCGAAGCCGCGCTCTTGCGCCCACAAGCGGATGCCCTGCTCCGCGAGCGAGTGAAAGAGCAGCGAGACGGCCGCGACGTGAGCGATGTCGATGGGGCTGTCGCAGCGAGAGAGGGCGCGCTCGAGGAGCTCCCTTGGGAGATCGAGCAAGCGGACGGGCGGCGGCGTGTCTGGCGAGGGAGCGGCGGTGGAGGCGGAGGCGAGGCGGCGCGAGCGGCGGCGGGTGGACATCGCGAGAAAAGAATGCTGCTTGTACTAGCAGAGACTAGCAGTTGTACTAGCAGAGAACTCGGTCTGCACGCGAGAAAAGAATTTCCGACCGCCTCCTGAGATGACCCCTCGCGAAGAAAAAGAAAGAACCGTGGCTGTCAACAGGGCTGTCAACAGGATCAGGCAGCGGCTGTTGAAAAGAATGCGACTGTCAACAGGATCAGGCAGAGAGGACGCGACGGCGGCGGGGCCGCAACCGAAAAAGGCTAGGAGGGGAGGTCGGGCCTCGCGCCCGCCGTACAACCATCGAGAAGCAAACAGGAGAACGGACCGAGCGGGGGGGTGGACCCAACTGGCGCCGAGCAGTCGTGCGCGATACTCTGCCCTGCTCGAGTGTCTGTGGGTGGGCGAGGCGTATCGTAACGACGTGCGTACCGTCGGGTACTTATTTTAAGAGCAGGTAAACAGCAATAGATCCGGCCCTCAAGCGGCCTAATCGATACCCAGCCCTCACGGAATCGGTCCCTCGTTGTACAGCAATCGATCCTTCACAGTGCCCGTCCTGCCACCTTTGCCGAGAATCGGTCCCCCAGGTCACCTGTGGCGCGAAGCTGATGTCTCCCGCCCTCGGCGCGCCCAACGCGCAGCGGCGGCAGACCACCCTCCGGTTCGAGGGGCGCCTGGGGCTGAGCGGGCTGCCTCCGCCAGAGTTTGGCTCATGAACGGCGGAGCTATTCTCGCGCCCACACCACACCTGGCTCCAACGTGGACACGCCCATAGCTGGGGACACTACTAGGTCACGCATGGCATCACAGAAGTTTTATCTCTGGGCCCCGAAAGGCATCTCTAGCAGCGTCGTTACACATGCCCCCTCCCCTCCTGGGCGCATGCGCCTCACGTCTCGCCAGAGCATAAGCCCTTGGCGTGTGGCGAGACGAGTTTTTCGCCATCGCCGCGAGCAGCAAGCCGCCCGCCGCAAACAGCCGGAGGCCTCGCCGCGGCACTGGCTGCGCCGCGGTCCCGCACCCGTCGACGCAGCTCCCCCCGCGGAAGACCGCGCGTAGCGACGTCTTGACGATCGAGATGAGCGTGCCTGAAGCTCGCCCACCTACTGCCCCTGAGAGTTGGTTATTGAGTGGGATCAGCTCCCCCCCTTGGGATCGAAGCCGCCACAACCTCACACCCAACATCCCAGGCGGGATCAGAAGGGGACTCCACACCGGACACCGCCCGGGCACAGCCCCCCTACCCGTCGGATCGCACAGAGGGCCCCCTCGGAGCAGCCCACACACAATCACGCATCGGCAGATTGAGTGCCTGAGTCAGGCAGACAGCACAGACAAGAGGAGAGAGAGGAGAGAGAGAGAGAGAGAGAGGAGAGAGGAGAGGGTGAGGGTGTGAACACACGTGAGGAGTGGGGGAGGGTGTCTGTGGTGGGCTGTAGTCCTACTACGTGGTTACAACCACGCGCCCCTCAGGAGCTTAAGTTAGAGCTGAGCGTCCCAGACGCCTCGGTGCCTCCCACCGGCGTGAGACCATCCGGATCTGCCTGCTGCGCCCTCCGTACGCAGCAGTCCCCGCGATGGCCCACGGTCCTCCGTCGCCTGGTTGACCCCCTGCCTCCCGGTTGACCCCCACTCCTCGTAGTCCATCATGAAATAAACTCAAAGACCCACCACGCCTCCAGCCTCCACCTCCACCCGCGAGCCGCCACCGCTGCCGCCCGTGACGCCGCCCGCCGCGTCAGATAGCCGCGACGCGCGCATCGAGTCGCGTCGGAGAGCCGCGCCGCACCAGCAGCAGCACCTGCACCACCAGCAGCAGCAGCACCACCACCACCACCACCCGAGAGAGAAGCGCACCTGCCCGACGCCGCCCGCCGCGTCAGACGCTCGCGACGCGCGCGTCGAGCCCAGTCGCACAGCCGCGCCGCGCCAGCAGCAGCATCGGCACCACCAGCAGCAGCACCACCACCACCAGCAGCAACAGAGGCAGGCAGTGCAGGCGCAGAGGCGCTCGCAGAGCGGCGCTCAGCGCCGCGCACGCCACGCCGCGGACCGTCGGACGAGCGCACCGTACGTCGGCGGCGAGCCGCGTCGCCAGCCGTCTCGCGAGAGAGCGGCGCCGCCGCGTGCGCGCAGCAGCCGCCGCGGCAGAGGCGAGCCGCGGCGACGTCCGCACTAACGGATAACGGCCATTGGCGGTTCTCTCTCTCTCTCTCTCTCTCTCTCTCTCTCTCTCTCTCGGAGGGAGGGGGTGCTTGTCAGCGCCTGCGGCGCAAAAAAGAGCTATGCTCGCTCCACCGCTGCCCGCTAAAAGCCCTTTCTGGACGCTTGCAGCAGCTCGCCGTGCACGGGGGCCCGGGCTGAGGACCAAAGGTAGCGGAGCCGAGGCAGCCGATCGAGGCAGCGCCGAGGTGGGATGCCGGCAGAGGCACGATGGATCCTTGCGGTCGTTGCTGCGGTCGCCGCACAGCACCTGCTGTCCTCGCACAGCGCCACCGGCATCGCGAGCCTCTTCTCCGACAGCGCCACCGGCATCGCGAGCCTCTTCTCCGACAGCGCCACCGGCATCGCGAGCCTCTTCTCCGCCGCCCTCCTCGCCAAAGCGCCGCCGGCCTCGCCACCTGTGCGGATGGAGGCTGCGAGAAACGAGCACGAAATCGCGGCGCAGCAGCAGCACTCCGCGTCGCAGTTCCAGCGGCTCGCTGACGACAAGCCGCTCGGCGGCGTCGAAACGGAGGCGCCCCAGCCAGACGAGGTTCGCGCGGCGGCAGAGGCCGTCGAAGCAGAGGCGGCCAGACGGAGGGCGCTCAAGTGTGGCCAAAAGGTCCCGCCAGAGAGTCTGACGGTGACGCGAGGCGTCTCCATCTTTGTCAAGAGCAAGTACCATGGCGAGGCTGGCAGCGGCCATGCGTGGAGCTACCGCGTCGAGTTCACAAACGAGGGCGTCGACACCGTGCAGATGCTCTCGCGGCACTGGATCTTCACCGACGCGACTGGCTTTGTCAGCGAGATGAAGGGCCCGGGGGCGCGTGGCGTCACGCCCGTGCTCCGACCGGGCGACAGCTGGTCCTACGACTCTGGCACGCAACTCGAAACGAGCCACGGTGCGATGCACGGCTCGTTTCAGTTTGAGACGCTGCGCGCGGTGAGCGGCGTGGTGCCGTCCATGTTCAACGCCCGCGTGGGTCGCCTTGCCCTCTCGCCCACGGACAGCCTGGAGCAGGCGCCGTGCGGCGAGCCGGCGAGAGGCGACATGCTCCCGGACACGTCTGTACGCGCCACGCGGCGAGTCATCGTGGGCGCGACGGTGGAGCGGCAGCCTGAGAGGTCGGATGAGGTCGCCGGCGTGTATCGGTGGGCGTATGACGTTCAAATCAACAACGCAAGGGACCAGGCCATCACCGTGGTGGCGCATCGATGGATGACGGTCGACGCCGACGGCGCCGTCAAGGAAATGAACGGCCTGGGCGTCGGCGGCAACTACAGATCCAAAGAGATTGAGCTGCCGGCGGGAGATGCCTTCCGCACTAAGGGCATACTGGCCACCGCGACGCCAGCTGGCAATGCATGGGGCGCCTACACTGTGAGGGCGCAGACCGCAGGAGGCGAAGAGGTCGAGATCGACGCCGAAGTTGGCGTCGTCGGTCTCTCGACCGACGGCACGCCCGTGGCGGACTTGCGGCCGGAAGCCGGGTAACGGTGTGCACACTGTGAGTGTCAAGAGCTCGGCAGTCATTTTGAGTGTGTGTGTCCTGTGTGCTTTTCAGAAAACACAAACGGCAGGCCGAGCTGTGTTTCTTTTTCGCGCACGTCGTAAAATTTTCTTAATATACATTGCGGTGTGTTCGATTCGCATTTTTACATATCTAAACGTTTAACCTCTCTTTTTTCATTTCTCTCTCACCTTCTCTTCTCTGTCCGCTCAGACGAGTTTATCATGGGGGTACACACAATAACGTAACTGGCTGCGGTGTTGCGGTACGAGGAGCGAGAACCGTGAGCGTAAATGTACACACAGCGCGGTATGCGGTGCCCTGGCCGCGGAGGCCCGGGCGGTTCTTATTCGCTCTCATATTGTCACGGCTCCTTGCTCCCCTCCCCGCCCGTTCGCTCCGAGCCCGCCGCAGCTGCCGGCTCCTTCCCGCCCGCGAGGAGGTCCGTGGCCTTTGTCGTCGTGGTGAACTCGCCCTTCGCGGCCGGCGCCGTGCGGGCGTTGGCCTTGACGGCGGCGATGGCCTCGGCCTTGGTGACGCCGTCCACCTTGGTCGCCTGGGGGAAGGCGAACCCCAGCGGCCGCAGCTTGGCCTGGAAGCGCTGCGTCATGAAGAGACGATAGCTCCGCATGCTGTCGTAGTCCGTGGACCGCTCAACCTCGGCCCACCGGTCGGTGCCGCCGCCGCTCCTGCCGCTCAGCGTGTCTGCGACGCTCTCCACCGCCGCCGCGTCGGGCGGCCGTGCGGAGAGCTTGAGCCGCCACGCGACGTGCAGGTCGGGTCGCACAACCAACATAGCGTGCTTCGCGTACTCGAAGGCGAGCTGACCTCCCGACGTCTCTTGCCCCTTGGCGTGCGCAGCCACGCGTGCGACCTGACAGGCGACTCCGCGCGCCTGCAGCGCCGCCCTGAGAGCCTCCGCCGTCGCCGAGGCATCGGCGAGGAGGAGGAGGGTGTAGCGATCGTTGGCAATGTGCTCGGCGATCGCGGTCCCGTCGGGGAGGAGCAGGTGAGGGAGGCGCGCCCCAGCGCGCAGGACGGGCTGGTAGCCGCACGCCGGGTCGTCCGGCGGCAGGATGGCCTCGCGGGCGACGAGCGGCGAGAAGTTGAGCTTGCCGCCAAACATGATGCCTGCGCCGGCCGAGGGGCGGGGGCGGCTCTCAGACCGCGCCACCTGGAGCGCGAGAGCCGGGCCCGCGGTGCGGCTACCGGACGACGCAAAGTGGTTGGCGGCGTGGAGGCCGGAGCTCTTGTGGTGCCAGATCAGCCGCATCCAGCGAGAGAAGGGCCACCACTCAAAGACAGGCGCCAGCAGGGGCTTCATCGCGGCGGGGCGCGGCACCAGGCCGAGCACGTACATGGCGGTGGAGAGCACCTGTGCGCACGCCGCGCGCGCTCGACGGGACGCATCGAGGCATGGGGGGCGTCTCTTCTTCTCTCCGTGGCGGCGGCGGCGGCAGCGGCGCACCGCCTGCCGCCGCTCAATGTCGTACGAGTTGAGGAGCGCCTGCGATGCCTCTCCGCGGCACGCCGCGGCCAGCTTCCACGAGAGGTTGAAGGCGTCGGCGTAGGCGGTGTTGCCGCCGAGCCCTCCGAAGGGCGGCCACGAGTGCGCGCAATCGCCGACGAGGAAGGCGCGGCCGTGCGAGAACTGGCGCGCGACGAAGAAGTTCCACCACCAGGGCTTCTCCTGCTTGAGCGTGAAGCGGCTCGTGCCCGTCATCTCCTCGGCCACCCGCGTCGGGCTCTGCTGGAAGAGCTCACCCACTGGGAACGGCATCAGGTTGAAGAGGTCACTCACCGGGTCGACCGGCACGACGAGGCCCAGCCCTCGCCTGTTCACAGCAGCAGGTGTGAAGAGACGCTGTTCACACCTCGGGTCCACCGGCACGACGAGGCCCAAGCCGCGCGCCGCTTGCGCAGCAGCCAGTACTGATGCGCAAAGCCGATGGTGCGCGCGAGCCGGGCGGCCAGGCCGGGGACGACGACCGCGATGCTGCGGCTCTTGTTGAGCCCGAGAAAGCCGTCGTACTTTGCGCCGACGAGCTCCGCGACACGCGAGGCGGGGCCGTCGGCGCCGACGACATACTTGCAGCGCACGCGGTAACGCGTCTCCGGGGCGCCGCCTGTGGGGCGCAGCAGCGCGAGGATACACGTGCCCGACTGCTCCTCCTCCTCCACCCCCTCGTGCGCCAGGCTGAGCAGCTCGTGGCCGTACCGGACTTCGTTGGAGGCGCACCGCTCCGCCTGCGCCTTGAGAACTTGCTCCTGGTGCGACTGCATGCAGCGCGTCGGGTGGACGAACCTCGCGCTGGCGCACCCGACGCAGCGGGACTCGGTAATTGCATTCATCCGGCTCGGGTCCGCCTTGAGCGAGGCGGGGCTCGGCCCGAGCGCGCTGCCCCGGCACCGTGCGCTGCCGTCCTCATGGGCGAGGCCCGTCGCCAGGATCGTGCCAAAGGGTGCGTGCTGCGGCCAGGCACGCTGCACGCGCAGCTCCTCGAGCAGGTCGGGGTCGAGGACCTTGGACAAGATGTCCATCGTCGCCGGGTTGCAGAAGAGAAAGCGCGCGTCTGTGACTGGCTCCTCGCGCCTCTCGACGAGCAGCGTGCGCACGCCCGCCCGGCCGAGCAGCGAAGCGACGCTCAGGCCAGAGATGCTGCCGCCGCAAACGAGCACGTCCACCTCGAGGAGCGGCAACCCCTCGTCGGAGCTGCCCGCCGCGGCTGCCTCCTCGCCCTCCTCTCCGGAGGGCGGCGGTGGCGCTCCAAAGTCGAGGAGAGGCAGCGAGCGCGCCGGCAGCGAGGTCGTCTCGTAGACGGCCATTGCCGCGGAGAAAAACATGAGCCACACGGCGGCGGCGACGGCGCAGAGCGCACTCCCGACGCCCTGCAGCGCGACCACGCCGCCGCCGGCGTTCATCCCCGCCACGCGCAGCGCTGCCCCCACCGCCGTGTGCGCCGCGGCGAGCAGCACGTAGTTGCTCGGGTGGGTCGCCCGCAGCCAGGTGCGCGGGTCGAGCCCGACACGCTGCCCGGCGGCGTGTCGCCGCTGGCCGAGCACGGCGAGGAGGAGCGCGCCTGCGACCGAGCCGCCCGCTCCGCCCGTCGCCGCGTACCCCGCCGCGTCCAGCATCCGCTCGCTCGCGCCGCCGCCCGCTCCCACCCGCGCCGCGACGGCGGCCGCCTCGACCGCGCATCCGGCGGCGAGGAGGAGGAAGGCGACCAGCTGCCAGCCACTCCCAAAGGGGGGTCGCGGCGAGAGGCGGACGGCGGCGGCGAGCAGGCCGTATGCCGCGGATCCGACAAAGAGGGCCGCCGCGTGCGACGCAAAGATTCCCCTCTGGCGGCTGCCCTCGAGCGGCGCGTCCGCCGGCACGCCGCGGTCTGCGAGGGAGAGGAGGATCGCCGAGAGGGCGGAGGAGAGGAGGAGCGCCCACCCGGCGGCGAAGGCGGCCGCGAAGGCGCGCGGCTCTGCGATCAGGTGCGAGGTGAGCGGGTACCGCTCCTCGAGCAGCGCGTCGACATTCTTGTCGATGCGCGCCATCCGCAGCGTCAGCACGGCGGCGGCGAGGAGGACCGCACTACCACCCGCCCCATCGAGGCCGCGCAAGTCGACCGGGTCGTCGCAAAAGTAGCTCAGCCCGATCGCGGCGTCGCACGCGAGGCCGAGCCCGAAGATCAGGAAGGCGCCAAAGTTGTGGTTTGGCGCAGACAGCCAGGGAGGGCGCATCTCCTCGTACGCCTTTGCGAGGAGAGAGGCGATTCCGGGCAGCCAGCAGGCGACGGCGACCGCCTCGCACACGGCGAGGCTCGTCCGGTCCACGCCGGCGTCCGACAGCGCCGCCGCCGCCGTCCCGATCCGCAGCTGGACGCCAATCACGAGAAGCGATGCGCCCCGCATGTACGGGATCGGGCCCTGCACAAAGGTGGCGCACGCCCACATGACCAGGCCGCTACCCACCAGCAGGAGGCCAAACAGAGCGCCGCCGCTCGCATCGGGCTCCCCGAGCGCCACACGGCACGTGAGCGTGATGAGCGCGCCCGCGTACAGGCAGAGCGTGCCGCGGTAGCCAAGCGTGGCGACGAACTCGCACGGGTGGTTGAGCGCCGTGAGCCAGCCGGTGGTGACGGTGGTGCCCACCGCGATAACCGCAAACGGAGCTGCCGGAACCGGCCGGTCCGTGTCTGAAATCTGCCACACCGCCACCGCCCAGCCGGCGAGCGGGGCGAGCCAGAGCGCCTGCCACGCAGAGCAGCGGGAGCGAACCGGCGCTGGCTCAAAGCTGGTCTCGCGGAGGACCTCCTCGAGGCTGACCGGTGATTCGGCGTCGCCCATATATGCGAAGCGTCCACAGAAGAGCCAGGTGCACACAAAGGATTGAGAAGCCGGCGGCACAACGGAGGCCTCTCAGAGAGCCGCGGCACCTTCAGAAAAAGAGAAAGCTGGCCCTCACAGCCTCACACAAGATCTGTGTAGGGCGCAGACGCATGTCACCACATGGCCGGGCGGTGCGCCCCACTATCCAACTCGTCTTGGTTGAGGTCTACATCAAGCGCACCAACTTCCATGCACGCCTTCGCCTCGGTGCCCGCGCCTCCGGCGGACGCGGTCGGATGCAGCGCCTACGTGATCGGCGCCGCGCCTCCTCCTGGCGGCGCGCTCTCCTCCGCCGGCGCGCTCTCCTCCGCCGGCGCGCTCTCCTCCGCCGGCGCGCTCTCCTCCGCCGGCGCGCTCTCCTCCGCCGGCGCGCTCTCCTCCGCCGGCGCGCTCTCCTCCGCCGGCGCGCTCTCCTCCGCCGGCGCGCTCTCCTCCGCCGGCGCGCTCTCCTCCGCCGGCGCGCTCTCCTCCGCCGGCGCGCTCTCTGCCCCACCGTGGGTCTGGCGGCCGCGTGGGCGGCGCCTAGATAAAGGACGACTACCCCACCGGCTACGACGAGATGCTCTTGATCTGATCCTCACGGGGATAGCCCGTCTCCTCCAGATCGGAAGATTGCGGCGACCTCGAGCTGTAGGGCACACGACTACATACGCCCGCACCAGGGGGCGAGGGCCCGGGACCGGACAGGGGCCCGCGGTACCAAACATCGTCGGTGGGTGCCTGGCCGCGCTGCAGGTGCACAGCGCGCGCCGAGGGGGGGCACTTGCTAGTCTGCGCAGGGGATCACCCCGCCGCTCCCGGGGAGGCCTGCTCGCATGGCCGTCCCGCATGGCCCGCCGACGTGGCCGCCTCGGAGCTAGCTCCTTGTCGGCTGGTCGGCATGGCTAGCGGAGTGGCTAGCGACATAAGGGGCAGGGAGACGGTGCCCTGCGTGAGGCGAGATCGGGAAATTCGGTGGAAGCCCAGGGACACGCGAACTCGCCAGCCTGACTCAGGCACCTCTCCCCAGAGGGGCGGGGGAGCGGGGTTATACCGAGCCAACCGGGCGTAGCGCGCATGGCCATCTGCCGTGGCCGCCTCGGAGCATGGCCACACCAATGGCTAGCTCCTTGGCGGCTGGGCAGCTTGGCTAGCGGGTAGCTCGGAGGTGTAACGAATTGACACCGGTCGGGGGGAAACCTCTTGAGATTAATTCTAGCCGCCTCGAGAGAGGTTGCCTGGCTTAGTGGGGCGGATCCCTGCGAACCAGTGCACCAGGGTTCTCTTCCCTGGGGCCGTAGTTCTCGGACTAGCACACAGTCCGACCCTGTCCTTGGTGTGTGTGTTTCACGCTAAGATCTACGTCTGGTCAAGGCGCAGAGGCTGCTCCAGGAGGATGAGGACGCGCCGAGCCCCGGGGATAGGAGGGCGACGCTGCTCCTTCGACTGGGCGCTGATGGGAAAGTCGACCTGGGAGCGACGGCCGGCCTACGCAGAGCACTCCCGGGCCCGCTCTTGGAGGAGGCTATGCGAGCCACGCTAGGAAGAATGAGCTGCACGGCGTCAGAGTTACAGGCGCAGGGTGGGCCGGACGCCGAGGCCATCCGGAGGACAGTGCGGTTGGAAGGGGCTCGCCCCCGAGCCGCGTGCCACCTATGCGAAGGCGGCCCGGACACGCGCGCCCACTTCCGGTATGGCTGCGCTGCGTGCAAAACGGAGCTGGGAGGGGTCGCGATGGAGAGGTCGGCCCACCTGGCGGCGATGGCGGACTCACTGTGGTTCGCACCGGATCGCCGGATCCCGGTGGACGGCGGGGCGGCTGGAAGGCGGGGAGTGGGGGTGTGGCGCCAGCTTCAAGCCTTTGAAATGGGCAAGGACCCCACGGTTCTGACTGTCCACACGGGGGGACTGCGCCACGGCATGACTCCGGAAAGGGCGACTTGCCTCGCTGCGGTGTGGGCGAGTCGGACGTGGCCTGGAGCGCAGCGGTTGCCCGCTGCGGCTGTCCGGGTGTGTTCCGAGGCGGTCCGGGAGCGGGGTCGTGGCCCGCTGCGGATCGTGGCACAGATCGTCCCGGAGCTGCTGGCGTGGCTGAGAGACGCGTTCGGACTGAGGGGCGAGGCGCTCACTTCGGCGCTCACCATGTCGACGCTCTTCGAGGCCGCACCCAGAGTGGTGGGGGGGGCGTGGTCGGGGGGGGAGTGGGGGGTGGAGGTGGATGACGTAACCGCGGAGGAGTGGTCGAGGACTCCGTGGCCACACAACGTCCTGATCACGATTGACGAACACGGGCAGGGGGCCCTCACTAGAGTGTACAAGAAGGCGGTAGCCACGGCGGAAGCGGGCGGACGGGTGGTGATGGTCGTTCAGGAGGCGCCGCAAGAGGGGCAACAGAAGTCGCGCTGCGCCTATCAGAACCTGAGCAGTAATGGGGCGGCAGTGGACGCGGTGCTCTTCTTCCCGGCCGGGACACTCGCCTTTGGACACGCGGCGGGATGGGCCAACGCCACGGAGTCGGTTTACGCGAACACCCACGCCTGGGCAGGGGGTGGAGAGGAAGAGGGCAGCGTCCTGCAGTTAAGGGGAAACCCGGTACGCGGGGCTAACCCTCGGAGACGTGTTATGGCCCTGCGACCGCGCCCCCCCCCCCCCTACTTAGCTCTTAGGGGTCAGGGCTCTCTAGCCCGTAGCCCGATACCGAGCGTCCGGCCAACTGGGTGCGCTTCTCAGCTCCCCGGTCCTGGGCGTGAGGTTACTGACCGCACTCCAAGTGCTCCAAGGCACTACTCTCTCGAGGTCTCGGCGAAGCGCATCGCAGGGTGAGTGTGAACGGGGCAGGAGGGCGGTGTGTGATTGTTGTTGTTGTGTGTGTGTGTGCGTGTGCGTGTGTGTGTGTGTGTGTGTGTGTGTGTGTGTGTGTGTGTGTGTGTGTGTGTGTGTGTGTGTGGTGTGTGTGTGTGTGTGTGTGTGTGAGACCGAGAGAGAGAGAGACCGAGAGGAAGATGTGCGGTGTCCGCCTCTGCGCAGCAAAGAGGCCTCGCGGCCCGCAGTAGTGCGCCTCGACCGCCCCCTGCGAGCCGCCCTCCGCCTCGCTCGCATCGGGAATCGCACACACAACGCCCCGCGGCCCCGGCAGGCGATCGAGCAGCTCTGCCGGGCGTTGAAGACGCCTTGAGCGGCGAGGCTCTGCGCGGCGGCAAGCGCGGTCCCCGACGTGGCGGCGCCCGCTGCTGGCGTGAGGTGGAGCGTGTCAGCCTGCGTGCGGTCCCCACACGGACACCGCGGTTAAGTGTTAACTGACGGTGGTACGAAAAACGCCCCCTCACCGCCCCGCGAACCCGCCGAACGATTCGAACAGCAGCACGAGCTGGAGGTGCGACGTGTCCGCTTTTTATGTACTCGAGTCGACTTTAGTCTTTACGATTCGGAATTTCGTGGATTGTTCTTGGATTCGTCACATTTGAAAGTGTTCATCCGCGAAGTTCCACGGACCACAGAGACAGCAACACCATCAACATGTCCACCCACAAGCAACGATTCTCTATCTCACGCCGCCGGACTCCTTTTTCCATAACGGCTATACACACAAACAATAACAACATCGACAATGGACAACGCAAGATTCTCCAGGAGCGGGCGCTCGCTCTCCAGGACTACACATGCTCTACGTGCAACGTGGGCGCCACCACCTACTGTAGCCCAGAAACAAGCAGGCAGAAACCAGAGGCGCCACCCCGCTACATGCACATGCAACCACGGTGAATGGCGCCGAGGCCCTCTTGCGCCAGCCCCAATCCCCTCATAGACCCAGCCGCACGCCCAGCCGCACGGGTCCTTGCCCCCCGCGCACGGGTCCTCGTCCCCCGCGCACGGGTCCTCGTCCCCCGCGCGCGCGTTTCTCGTCGCAGGCCTTGGTGCATATCGTGTCCGCCTACAGGTAAGCTTGTGTATTCGGGGCGGGGGGTACCCGTCCAGCGCAGGGGAGGGCACCAGGGAACCAGCCTCAGTCCTTGTAAGTGAGACACTCGACGTTGTTCGCCGGCGCCTTGTTCGTGCGCGTGGCGGCCGAACCGCACACCTTGCAGAGCGTATACGCCTTGTGGAGGCGAAGAAGCTCGACGGCTTGGCAGCCACGCCACGCCTCGCAGAGCTGTCGGCACGCAAAGCGCGCGACGCCGTAGTCACCCTTGTGAAATTCGCGGCCAAGCTCCTTGCACTTGCTGCCGTTGTCGTCAGCGCAGAAGCCCTGGCGGAGTGTAAAGCCGAAAGGGGCCACCGACGGCGACGCGGACGGTAGCGGCGCAGGCGAGGCGGAGGGAGGCGGCGGCGAGGGGGGCGGCGGCGAGGGGGGCGAGGGCGGCGCCGGCGGCGTGCGGGGCGGAGGCGCCGTGGGCGGAGGTGGCGAGGGCGGAGGAGGCGAGGGCGGTTGCTGTCCTTCCGCCACGGCGAGGTAAGCGGACAGCATGACGCACTTCATCGCGAGACGCATACTCATTCCGCTTGTCATGGCTCGTTGCTCTCGCTCAAGAGGGCCGCACCTACTCGCAGCGCACGCAGCTTGAGGCCCAGCACCAAGGACACCGCGGCACACCCGCCGCGCCCACGTTGTTTTGGATCTGCGAGGGCGCAGGCGGCGGCAGGCGCGAGCGTCAGCAGCATAAAATGGGATGAGCACGGCGCGGGCTTGTTTTGGGGGTCGCGGGGGCGCAGTAGGCACGGAGGCGACCCGCGGCCGCGCGCTCAGCAGCGCTCCGACCGCGATCCGATTGTGCCAGATTCGCCTCGATACTCGGATCGAGCCGCTCGCACGGCGGTCGCAGCACGGCGTGCATCAGTGCTCGCTGCAGTGGTGGTTGTGGGGCGAGGCGAGAGGGCACACGCGGGGGCAGCTCTCACCTCGCGCTGCGTCGCGCGGGCGAGGGGCGAGGCGAGAGGCAACCATGCATGGTGGGGGGGGTGTGCAGCTGGATCAAACAAGGCGGGCTCCATAGTCTCAACAATCCAAGTAGGCGGGCTCCATCTGAAACTTTCCGCGCATCGTTAAGGTCATTCACGGGTGTCCGCGGCCCACTGTGCCCGCTGGTAGGACAGTGATCGCCGCAAACCCTGTGGTCAGCTCCATATGATCTCGGATATTTTTTGTAGGCAGCGGAACACCAAAAAACTACTCTGTCTTCGAGTGAAAAGTAATCCGAGCAGACCCGCGGCCGCAATGAATTAAAAGGGGAGGTTTTCGAGGGGGAATCTGGAGAATCTGGGAATCTGCTCACCACTGACCCCCACCTCATCGAAAAACTTTTCACTCCAAGACAAAGTACTTTTTTAAGGTGCTCTACAACCTAGGCACAAAAGATATGGCATTGCAGGCCATTAGGGCCCTTTAGACGATCACTGAGTAGGCCAAAATCCCCGCTGGGCCGGGAGCAACCTTAACAGCAATAGCATCCGGCCTCACGCGGCCTAATCGATACCCGGCCCTCACGGAATCGGTCTCAAGGCCCTCGTTGTACAGCAATCGTGATCCTACCAAGGAGAGAGAGTGGTTTCTAAAAATCTCTCTCTTGATCCTACCGCAGCCGCTTGGCCTGTATATGTACGAGAGTTTCCGGCAACCCAGAGGGAAACCAAAGGGTCCCCAGCACGGCGAATTTCGGAGATTTCGGTGACACGCGAATCATGAGAACTCCCGGAAGGCGGAGAAAGCCTTCGCCGGCCTGGGGGTCGGTCGGCATACTCAAGCCCGCGTGCAGCAACAGTGGTCAAGGGCCTGACCGGTCTCCCCGCAGTCGGCCGCTGTTTTCTCACAGGGACGTCGCGGTGGATCTCACACGGTGCCCTGGAAGGGAGCAGCCCGCGGGGTCGAGGGAACCACGCGAACGCCTTGCAGGTGGCACCGCGGAGGCACCTTTCCGCGCACGCGTTAAACGTTTACTGGCAGTTTCGAGTGAATCTTGCAACAAATCACCCTTGGGGACCCGCTGTGGGCGGGGCGGGCCCCTGCACAGCTGGGACGACGGCAGGAAACCCAAGGGCGAACAAACTTTCCCGGGGGGGGCGGGCACAAGATTCACGTCACAGGACACAGCGTGTTTGGGTGTTTTTTTCTTGTGGAGGCCATATTTTGATGTGCAAGATGCACGTTTCGATGTGCAAGAGAGAGAGAGAGAGAGAGAGAGAGAGAGAGAGAGAGAGAGAGAGAGAGAGAGGGGGGGGGGGGGGGTGACTACGAATCTACGATCCCGGTGTTGAACTTCGCGAAATTGAGATATTTCGGGCCTAATCCATCCAGCGCGCGAAGAGGCGCCTCCCTAGGGGGCTGTAAACCCGCTAAATCCCACTTGGAAGCTGTCTCCGGAGACCTGTCCGCCAAAGAGGGTATCCGATGAGCTGAGGAGATCCTCGGCTGTGCCTGTGGCTGGGCCCGTAGTGGCGAACGTGACGAACAGCAGCGAGACGATCATCCGGCGAGTCTGGTCCCTGGTACTTGCCCCGACGTTCTTCGTTCCAGATTCCGTGGTTTTTGCACGGTATTCGGATTTTCGCTATTTGGTCGTGTGGGTGTGAATCCCGGGATTAGTCAATGGTACCGCGTCGGCGACGCGGGCGCCTTGCGGGCAGAGCCCTTAGCCACCCTTTATCTTGCGCGGTCAAAATCCCTCTGCCCTGGTGCGTGGCAGCGTGCCGGCCTCCCTTCCCCAATTGGTGTTCTTTAGCTTCATCTGAAGCCGTCTGCTCCTGTCAACAGAGCCCACGAATTCTTGCAAGTAGAGCCATGCTGGGCGTCGTATATTTGTGCTCCCCTCCGTATCCCTCGCTCTCGGCCACTACTGTCCATCTAAGAGCAGGCCCTTGACTTCCTTCGAATTCTTGCACGCGCCGGGGCAGAGTCGACACAGACACAACTCGTGACGCGCGCCAGCGCCCTGAGCCTAAGCCGCAGCCGCAGCCCGCAGCCGCAGCCGCAGCCGCAGCCGCAGCCGCAGCCGCAGCCGCAGCCGCAGCCGCAGCCGCAGCCGCAGCCGCAGCCGCGGCCACCCAGCCCCCCCTTGGCTTGACCGACTGCGTCGATGGACCTCCTCCGCGCCCTCTTCGGCAGTCGCTGTAGTCTGTCTGAGCCGCTGACACTCTCGCCCGGCGACGATCCCCCTCCGCCGCTCCCTCCGCTGCTCACTCTCCCGGCCGACGCGCTCGTGCACCTGTGCACCAGCCTTTCCGTCGAGGACCTCTCCCGTCTCTCGCTCGTCATTGGTGGCCTTCCGGACGAGGTGTGGCGTCACTCGCTCAGAAGCTGGATCGCTCGCGTCGACAGGTTCGGCTGTGACAGCGGCGACGACCTCGAAGCGTGGCTTGAGGAGGCCGCTGCGGCCCTCGTCGTCTCGGGCGGTGCGGGCGACCGGCCGCTCCGCGCACTCGTCAACCGCCTCCGACCGCTGCTTTGCGCCGTGTGCGACGAGGGCGAGGCGAGCCAGGTCTTTTTTGCCGCGTCGCGCCAAGGCGCCTGCGAGCGGTGCGCGAGCGAGCGGCCTCTCGAGCTCGAGCGCTGGCGGCGAGCTCAGTGCGTGCGCGAGGCGCGGGCGCTCGCTCTCCAGGACGAGGCGTCGCGCGCCGAGCTCGAGGCGGCGCTGCGCGACGTGCTGCCGCTCCCCGCCGGCGGATCGCGGCTGCTCTTCTCCTCGGACCGGCACGGCGGGTCGGCGACGGCGCTGCTGCGCGCGGCGAGAGACGAGCCGTGCAGCGTCGTGCTCGTGACCGAGCGGCCTCGCGCCTCCTCCGCCGCCGCCGCGGAGCGGAGAGCATTTGGCGCCTTCGTCGCGACCGCCTGGCCGCGCGCCGCTGGCGAGGGGCGGCGCTGGTTTGGCGATGCACGCTGCTGCCTCTTTGGCATTGCGCCTCGCGTCGTCGTTCACGCGGCGACGAGGGCGGACGAGCACTACTGCCTGGTGAGCCGGCAGGGCATCGGCTTCGGTGGCGACGTCGACGGCGGCCACGCGCTGAGCCTATCGCCCGACCTCTCCGTCGGCCGGTGCCTTCCCTCGCGCACGTACGGAGACACGTCGCGGCTCGCGAGCGGCGTCGACTTTGTGGCGGAGCGCGTGCAGCTGTGGGGCGTCGCAGAGGAGCCGGCGGCCAAGGCGCGCGCATCGCGGCGGGCGGCGTGGGAGGCGGGCGGCGACGGCGTGCTCGAGGGGGCAGCGTTGAAACCGGGCGCAGACAAGCTGATGCTCGAGTTTGTCGGCATCGAGCGAGACGTGGCGTTGCTCCGCCGCTATAACGGCTGATGCCAGTGTGCAGTGAGGGGTGATGGCGCATTTGTTTTCTCCGGGCTTCACGTCGACGACACGTCCGCGCAGGTGCAGACGGCGCTCTCCCGCGTCGTCAAGGGGGTGGGTGGGCTCTCTCACGCGTCGTGGCGCTCCTTCGTCAACGACCGGAAGACCGCCGACGCGCACGGCTTCATCGACGGCGACCTGATCGAGGCCTTCCTCGACTTGCCGCCGCGCAAGAAGGAGGAGGTCGTGCCACGCACACACCACGCACAACAGAGACGCACCCCCCCCCCCCCCACACACACACACTCGCACGCACACACTCGCCTCGCTCGCTTGCTCACGCACACCGGGCCTTGCACTTTCAATGCTGTGGGTCTCCTGTCTTCAGATGTGCAGCTGCGAGAGGGCTAGCCTGGCCCTCTCCGCTTGTGTTTGGAGAGTTGACCTCACCTCACCGCGCCTAGGTCGTCGCTGGGCTCGACATGACCGCCGAACAGCTCTCGCGTAGCAGCTGGCGCGCCTCCACTGACATGTCCACTTTGAGCTGCTTCGGAGGGATCGCGCTTCGTGGATCGGGGACAGGTACCCACGGGACAGTGGTGGAGTGGACGCGAAGGGGCTGGCGGCTCATTAGCAGACCGAGGTGTTGTTCAGGCTTGTACGCAAATTATCAGGGCCGCTCCGGCGATAAATGTTTTCAACCCTACAAAGGTTCCCCCGGCCCCGCCCACGGCCACGGCTAACCATATGCAGTCGTGTGGAGTCTGTGTGGTCGTGTGGGCGGCGCGGCATGCCCGGCACCACCCACACGACTAGACGTTGAGGTCCTTGGTGAGCAGCGCCTGGAAGCGAACGAGGCTCGAATGTGTGAGGCAGGATTCAAGGAGGGAATGGCAAGGGGGCGGGGGACGGCAGGGAAGGCGAGGCTCACATGAAGCGCGAGTGGCCGCCGCCGGCGTGCTTGGCGACAAGAAGTCCACCCCGTTGATCAAAGTTGTCGCCGGATGGAGGGCTGTGTTTCTCTTGATGAGGGCCACGCGCCGGCTCGGAAGAGGGGCTGTCGACGGCGCAGCAGAGCGGCACGCCTTGCCGCTCGAGCCGCCAACAGCCCCCCACCTCGACGTGACGGCCGTTCCCAGGGCCTGCCGGTGCGAGCCCGACCCACGCCCCCGCCGGTGTGGCAAGCGCAGCAAGCGGCAGAACGAGACCGATCGTGCGACAAGACGGAGAGGCGCCGCCTCCGCCGCCTCGCCGCCCGGCAAGGCCCCGAGCGAAAGGTCACCGAGAAAGACTCCTGGGCCTCGCACCTTGGTTGGCGAGCCAGTAAGCTCGGAGACACCCCATTAGTGCGGCTCGACCTCTGTGAGTCACTGCCTTCCCGGCGGTTTGGCTGTAGAGCCTCTACAACAAACTCTACAACAAAATCGCGCTCTACATCGCTCTACAACGGAGGCGCTTCGTCACGCGGCGGATGTAGAGCTCTACAGCTCTACAGCGCTCCAGAGCGCTCTACATCTCTACAGCTCTACAGCGCTCTACACTCTACATCCTCTACACCCTCCCTCAGCTCTTCACACGGCCATCGCAGAGCGCGCGCCGATCGGAGTTCGACGCGGTCGAGGGGGGCCTTGCGGAGAGAGGCCAGCGAGATGGCAATCCTATGGGCACAGTCTCAATCAAAAAGAGCGCCTTCGGCACTACTCTCTCGAGGTCTCGGCGATGCGCATCGCAGGGTGAGTGTGAACGGGGCAGGAGAGCGGTGTGGGCGCGGCGGGTTCCGTGAGCAACAGGCGTCGCGCGCGGGGATCCAGCCAGGCGTGCAGTGTGTGTGTGTGTGTGTGTGTGTGTGTGTGTGTGTGTGTGTGTTGTGTTGTTGTTGTTGTGTGTGTGTGTGTGTATGATTGTTGTTGTTGGTGTAAGCAAACACACCCCATTGCGTGCGCTGTACTCGTGTTTGGATTGACGGTGCTGAAGAAGTCCAAGTCGTCGCGGATCTGCCAGTCGGCAGGCAGGAACGGGTTGAAGTCTCCAGGCTGAAGCACCATAAGGGACCAAGTTTGCGTCAGGACTGCCCTCTCCGCTGTCCGCGCATCAGGAGACACAGGACGATTCCGAATGTAGATGTATTTGTAAAAATACGTGTAATACCGGGCGCCACACATGCTGCAACACGGCAGTCACCCGTCACAGGCCGGACAGGCACAATTACATGCTCATCGATTCGTCATCTGTTCATGCGTTCACACGGGGGTCTGAGATCTGCCACGCACACGGTCCGGTCTGTCTTGAGGCATGAGGGTCTGGCCGCCCTCGCAGCACCAAAACGCCCGCCTCGCCTCGCCGCGCGCCCGTTCAAGCGGCCGCGCGGCTGCGCGCACTCGCCCTCGTCGAACGCTTCGACGGGGTGGCGGCTGCGCGGTTCGTGTCGACAGGCGTGAGCACGCGCGAGCTTTCGCGCGATGGCTGCGGCACAATCGGCGCGTGCAGCCGCGGGTCGAGCGAGATTGGCTTTGGGTAAAAGGAGCCTGCGCGTGGGCCGGAGGTGTTCGGGTGACCCGCCCCAGGCGAGTGGAGGAGGGCGCGGCGCGCGCGCGGAGGAGGGTGGGGCTGTGGAGGAAGGGGGGAGGGCGGCGCGCCATGGCCCTCGAAGCGGTCGACGCGCGACGCGCCAAAGTCGTGCGTGCGGGCGCCTATGGGACGTGTCTCGGACATGGCATGGACAGGCCATGGACGCGACGCGCCAAAGTCGTGGCTGCGGGCGCCTCCCGACTGGTCGACCGGGTCGTAGTCGCGCTCGTCGTGCGCCTGCGCCCGGCCCGCCCCCTTTGCGCCGCGCCGCCGCTTGAGCCGCTGCGCCGACTCCTCCTCCGCCGTCGCCGGCTCAGCGCACACCTTTCCTGGCGCGGCCTCGTCGGCCCGGCCCGCCCCCCCCGCCTCCGCCTCTGCGGCAGCTCGCTCAGCGGCGGCGGCGGCTCGCTCCTCTGCCGCCGCGGCGCGGCCTTCCGCCGCCTCCGCCCGCTGCAGCGCCTCGCTCAAGGCCGCCTCTAGCCTGCGCACCTCGATGGCGGAGGCCGCCGCGTCCGCCTCGGCCGCCCACGCGCGGGCCTGCGCCTTGTCCGCCCACTCGGCGAGGACGGCCTCGGCGGCGGTGCGCTGCTCGGCGGCGGCACGCGTGACGACCGCACTGCACGCGGCGGCGGCGGTCCGTGCGCAGAGTGCTCTCCGCACCGCGTCGCTCCGCAGCCGCTCCGACGCGTCGAGTGCGGCGGCCTGCGAGGTGGGTGGGTGTGTGTGTGGGGGGGGGGGGTGGCGGGATGTGAGTGGCGGGGTGGTGGGTGGCGGGGTGGTGGGACGGGTGGGGCGGGGTGGCAGGCTGGTAGCAGGACGAGTTGAGGGGAGGGGAGGGCGCCCGCGGAAAGAGGGAGGGAGAGAGGGAGAGAGGGAGCGGGGGGGGGAGGGGGGGGGCCAAGGAAGCGTGTCGGGAGGGCACCAGCTCGCGGTTGTGCGTGACGAGCTGCTCCCTCTCCCTCGCGCGGAGCTCCTCCTCCCTCGCCCGCTCCTCGTCGGCCTGGCGCGCCGCCTCTTCTGCCGAGAGCCGCTCGCTCCCCGGCTGGCGCGCCACCCGCGGCTTGGAGACGATGGTCCGCGCGCGCGAGACGGTGTAGAGCGTCGAGAGCGTCTCGAGCGCATTCGGCTCGGCCGGCGAGGCGCAGGCGAGCATGAGCGTCTGCGTGGCGCCTGTCAACACTCAATCATACTTGATGAAGAATTGAGAGGCGGCGGCACCGCGGGCACGCGGGTCTGGGCGGCGCCTCCGAGGCGGTCGGCGAGGACCTTGGTGAGGGAGGAGCCGTTGTACGGCACGTGCGCCGCGCGCGAGCCCAGCGCGTGGATCACGTGGTTGAGGTGGAAGAGCGACAGGTTGATTTGGATGCCCTCGTGCTGCACCTTGCCCTCGGTGCCGGCGCGCTTGGTGCGCTCCGAGCCGGCGAGGTCGACGAAGGTGAGCTTGGGCCGGAGCTGGCCGGAGGCGCCCTCGCTCTTCGGGTCCGCCAGCCTCAGCTCCACCGAGAGCACCGCGTGCGACCGCGACGAGTGCTCGTTGAGCCGCGTGCTACTGGTGGCGCGCGCCGCGGCGCCGCGGGCGAGCAGCGCCGTCACGTCGGCGGCGGACTCGACGAGCTCGCGGCGCGCGGCGGGGAGGCCCCAGCCCGCGCCGTCCCGCTTGAGGTGCAGCCGGGGCAGCTCGCCGTCCGCCGCCGCCGGCGCCAGCAGGTCGTGCACCGCGTCCTCGTAGATTTGAACAAAGCTCGCGCGCGCAGCGGCGCCGGGCGGCAGCCGCTCAAAGATCTGCTCGACCGACATCTGGATGAGGCCGGGCACGCGGCGCGCGCCCGCGCCCGATCCCATCGTGTGCGTCTTCCCAGAGCCGGTCTGCCCGTACGCGAGCACCGTCGCGTTGCAGCCCCGCAGCACGTTCGGGAGCAGCGTCGGTGCGACGCACGCGTCATAGACGGACGAGATGCCACCTTCGGGGCCGCCCACGTGGTCGAAGGCGAAGGGAAACGGCGCGCAGTCGAGCACCACCTCGGGCTTCTCCGGCTGCGGCTGGTGCAGGCACTCGGAGCCGCGTGGCTCGTGCGGCAGCAGCGGACGCACGACGAGCGCGACCTGGACGCACTCGGAGCGACGCGTCGACACCATCTCGCCATCCGCGTTCGGACCGCCGCCGGAGAAGCGCTGGCGGCGGCGCGGCGGATGCTGCTGCTGCTCCGAGGCCGAGGCCGACGCATTGGCCGACATAACACACGCTCAAAAGCGCAGGGTGTTCGGAAAAGAATTTCTTCAGTGTCTCTGTTTTCTTTCTTACAGAAATGCCGCGGATCAAATTTAGGTACATTCCCAGAGGAGCACCACTGCTGACGGGGTTTGCGAGAGAGAGTTTTTTGCGATGAGAAGCGATCCGAACGTGGCATTCGGGTGATTAGATCACTAACTACCGAAGAAACGCAAGAGCACTGCGACGCATCGCCATCGGGCTCATGCTAGCACCCACCTCGCGGGCCGATGTTCTGGCCCAGGGAGGCAGCCGCGGAGCACTCGCGAGCCGATATTCTGGCCCAGCGAGGCCGCTGCGGGACACACCGGCGGCTCGGTTCGCTCCTCAACGCAAACTCGGTCGTCGAGCAAGAGTCAGGTGTGTGTGTAAAGGCGGCGCGGCACGGTAAGGGTCGGCGGTAAGGCGGTAAGGCGGCAACAGACGGCAGGCAGGATTTTTGAGAGAGAGAGAGAGAGAGAGAGAGAGAGAGAGAGAGAGAGAGAGAGAGAGAGAGAGAGAGAGAGAGAGAGTTGAAAACCAACTCTCTCTTACATTTTGCAGGACCTCTCGTGTTGGAGAGAGATTTTTAGTCGTGTTGGTCCAAGTGTAAAAAGTTGTGTACCTGTGTTAGTGCCAGTGCGCCAGTCCCCGTGCCCAGAAAGAAAGAAAGCAAGAAGACGGACAACTCAAGAGAGGGATGGGAGGACGGCACGCCGCCACCACACAGGGATTCCCAGAAAGAAAGAAAGAAAACAGACAGCCCAAGTGGGAGGGATGGGAGGACGGCACGCCGCCACCACACAGGGATTTTAAGCAACCCCTGCCTATAGACGAGTACAGCTAAAGAGTACCCGGGGCTCCCCTTGCGGCTTTTGCACCTCCTGTGGAAGCAGCCGTTCAAGCGAGGCGGACCGTGCGACTCGAGTGTGGACTTGTGTAGCCGCTCCTGCGCGTGGCGGCCAGGGGGTGGGTGCTCTGGCGGGGTGCAGCGACTCAGGAATTTAGGTGGGCGCAGAGGAGCGCGCGCCGAGCGAGACTGCGGGCCGAACGCGTTACGAAAGGAAAGAGCGGCCGCACTCTGCTCGCTACCCCCCCTGCACAACTAAGCTCATGGCCGACCCCCCCCCCAGCAGCAGCGCTCTGCTGCTGGGGGGGTCGGGACCCCCCCCCCCAGCCCCAGCAGCAGCGCTCTGCTGCTGGGGGGGTCCGGACCCCCCCCAGCAGGAGCGCTCTGCCTGTGGGGGGTGCTGGCATCTCTGTACAGACATGGATGAACAACTCTCTCACACAATGGTCACAAGTCTTTAGTAAAACGCCAGCGCTCGACACGACGAAGGTGTATTGGGCTCGAAGGGGCGGCGAACACAACCGCCTCGAGCGTACGAGTACCGCTAAAACACGA